CATTTTAATTTTTCTTGTATATCATTAAACGATAAAAGGGCAAAAATACTCACAAAATGATTAGTTAGAAGCATTCAATATTTTAAAATGAGAAAAATGACATAAATACTTATAACGTCACATAAATGGACACAAAAGTGATCAAATTATTAATTTTGATTTGTTCAATGTTAATTGTGCGTGCTACATGTCAACTTTTACTGATATGGATTAATAAAGGGGCAAAAATACCTATGAAATTGTTGGCCAAGAGCAAAAATAATCATAATGTTATCAGAGTTGGTGCAAAAATAATTAATCCATCAAATTTCTTAAATATTGATTGTTTATCTAACACTTAAGTAGAAGTTAATCATTTTTTGATGACATGGATAAAAAAAATTTTAGATGAAATTTTTTGAAGATTGATCCGTTATTGTATAAATATCATTTGAGAAAATGTTGTTTTGATTGAACATCAAATTAAATTGGTTGTTTTTTTTGTAACGGTGGCAAAAATTATTTAAAAATTTTAAATATATTATGAATGAAATTGCTTAAGGTTGTGACAATGTTTTTAATGTAGGAGGTTTGCTTGGTCTTGATATTCAATTTTATACAACCTATTTCACTATGTTGAATTTTAGGTTTTATAGATAAGAAAAATAAGTAGAGAGGAAGAAAGGAAAAGGTTGAGATATGTGGCAATAGAAAGAAACCATGTGGCATGAATTTTTATAGATTGGTCACCATTATACCTATTAAAGTAATATTAAAGATACTCATACAATGATTGATCAATATCTATAAAAATTTCTACTTATCTGTTAGTTAAACGGTTAACATTTAAGATTTAATAAATTGTCATTTTTACACTAACTTTGATAATGTTATGGGGTATTTTTGCTCCTGGCTGACGATTTCATCAATATTTTTGCTTCTTTATTAGTTTACGTCAATAAAGATATACGCGTGACATGCAAGTTAGTATTTAATGGTTAAAATTAACGGTTTGATCACTTTTGCACCCACTCATGTAATATTATGAGTATTTTAACCCTTTTTCTCACTTTAAGATACTAGATGCCCCTGCTAACCACTTTATAAGTAACTTTTCCCTTTTATCCATAATTAAATTTTTAAAAATTAATTTTTTACTTGCATATTTTAACCTTATATACTTAAGATGTTTATTTTTAATTAAATTAATATATGTGTATCTATTATAGATTGTTTATTCTATAATAAATGTTTGTTATTAATATTATTAACATATTAAAATTCATGTCTTGATTTGATTGGTTAAAAATATATTAAGTATATAAGGGAAATCCCAAACTAGTAATTCGCAGTTATTAATGTTGCACTCCATTCCATTATTGTTTTTTCAATGAAGCAAACGGGCCCTTGGAAAGTGTTTTGGAACATACTAAGTCAATTGTTCGAGGGAATTTTGACGTTTAACAGGAAACTATATGCTAATATATAAAACACCAAACTTGTTCTAAAATCAACAATATAATAATAATAATTAGATAAACGGTAGTTTCAAGGGTAACAAGATGTCAAATGCTAAGCGCTTTAAAAATTTCTACGCTTTCATATTCAAAACGGATGGATATAATTGACTTGGAAAAACAATTTTGTATGCTGCAATTCTTTCTTTCACTTGCCCCTCTCTCATTGCATACCCTTACCCTATCTTCCATACATGATACGCGGCCTTTTCTTACCAGCTATTATATTTTATGTCACATGCTTTAATATAACTCAATTAATTAGATACCATGCTAATGTGATTATATCAACATAGATATATTATTTCATAAATTTCCAATAACACTTACGGTGCTGTTACAAATTCCAAAATGACTTCACTAACAATCCAAATGTTATCTCCACACACACACACACACACACACACACACACAAAATCAAAGACTTGATGCGTTATATAAGAAAATGTGGGAATTGATGCGTTAGAGTTATCAAGATCGTTAGTTCTATAAGCCATGATATAATATATACTCGCTTTTTTAAATTACAAATTCTTTTTAAATAGATTTGACACGCAAAAATAGATTATTAACAATTCTATTTAATTTTTTTATTTTTTTAAAATTGGCTCTTTTTTTAATAAAAAACATTTCTACATAATATTTTTGGGAGTACTTTTTTCATCACACACACCATACCCGGACATAAATTTTAAAATAATCAAATTAAAAAATGATCGAAGCAGAAGAAATTAAATTTTTTAAAAATATATTCTTTCAGATGAATTTAATTAAAAGATCTCGGATGACTTCACAAAGAAAATAAATACAAAAAAAAAATGAAGAATGAAATCTAACGGTGAAGCAAAAACCACGGATGACACAAAACGAAATGTGACCAGTGACAAGATGGGGAGCCTCTCTCTCTGTTGCAGTGTAAGTTACGAATCTATCTTCACCGACAGGCTTCGCCATCACACATAAGATTAGCGATTACGCATTCCCACTTCAACATGTCCTCCCCTCTCGTTGCTTGCCACGTGTCCCTCTCCCTCCCCCTCGCCTGAAGCTCGCCGCCGCCGCCTCACTGGCCCTCTTTGTCTCTGAGCTTCCGCTTTTCGATTCATCTCTCTCACATTCTTCCAGTACTGCCACAGCCCTGCACCCTGCACATAGCTTTCTCGTCATTTTTGTCTCGCTTTCACTTTCCAACGTCTTTATTGGACAAAGCTTATTTGAAGTTGAGAGAGCTTGCTTTGTGATCAAATATAGGATGATTTTAAAAAAATTGGCATATATTTAATTTGTCTCGTATCTTAACATTTGATCGCATCTCATCCAAAAGGTATTGACTTGACTAATTGGTGCAACTTGGAAATCAGTTGACCTTGGTCAACTTCTACAGTTTCCACAGATAATTTTTTTTTTTGGTTCATGCAAAGAGTACTGCATAATTTGTATTCTGGACAATAGTTTCGACTGATGTATGCAATCATTTAAATTTTCTTTGAATGGCATTTCGCTTCTGAGTAAAAGACAGTCCAACCAGCTTTGTATGGTGTTTTCACGCACAAACACGCACACGATGAGAGAGAGAGAGAGAGAGAGAGACATTTAACACTTAATTTTTTGCTGGTTTATCAGAAATATAATCGATATTTCTCTTCATCATGACAAGATATATACGCACGTACGTAGTTAATTACTTATACGCTACTTCCTTGTCTGTAATACAGCTGGAAGTTGAAATTATTATCATTATTACTACTACTATGTGCCTGGCATTTTTGAAACAAAGATATTCACTCATTCAGGCCATGGAACATAGTTAACTTGTATATACTGTAAATATCTATGATAAATACACCCACATGCATGTAATACTATTGAAGCTTACAAAAAATAGAGGTATAAAAAAAAGCTAAGAAAATTATCTTAGAGACAAATGCATATTAGATGTTGTCATATGTTGTAATTAATATTTATAGTTTGCAAATAACGTGGTTCATTTTTTATGTATATATTTTATATTAAAATATCATAACGAAATGTGTGTGGTACGTTAGCCATAATTATAACACGACAACAGGACTCTTAATTGAAATGTAGTTTTATTAATACAAGGGTATGATTACACTGATTCTTCTCGTCCTTTTTCATTTGGATTGCAACTTTTCCTGTCTCTACTTTTCCCTTTTCTTTTCCTTTTTCTTTCCCTCACTTTTTATTCAATTGAGACCCCACTTCACATAGATCTAAATCTCTCCCCAGTCTAAAGCAGATTCAAAAATAAAAAGTGATTAAGCCACATAATTAGTTCTCACTCGGTCAATTTCATAATGTGTTATTATGTGAAAGGACTCAAAAGAGTGATCAATTTGTGTTAGTTACAATAGGAAAAAAGTTATTCTTATGAAAAAATTAAACATACAAAATAATAACATATATCAATGTGATGAAATTTATAGCAATATTATATATATATATATATATCATAATTTTTATTTAAGAGCATGAGAGATATTTTTCAATTATACAACATTTTGTTATTTTATATTTATTTTTGTTTTAGTTTGCTTTTTAAATGGGTTCTTAGGAGTTAAAAAGATGGATTCTTAGAATTTGGGAAGAAAAATAGAATATAGAAAATGAAAAATAAATGCTATATATCATTTTATTTTTAGTACTGTATTTCTCTTCTTTTCAAATTTTACAAAAAGAGAAAAAATTCTAGAAGCTTCTTACCCATGCACTCCCATTTCCAGCGCGCGCGCGCCCTCACTGAAGATGAAAAAATATGGGAGAATGATAAACCGTTTTCTTTTACATGCAAAAAATTGGGAATTCAGAAATAATTACTGTAATTTCCAATTCTCCCAACAAAGTATTGTGATACGTATTATTTTAGATCGTTATCATTGAAAGTACGCAATTCTTAATCTAAATTTAAATTGGAAAAAAAACCAAATAGTGCATGAAATAAATAAAAATTGAAAGATGTGGGAGTGAAATTAAATCTGGACATTACTTCATGAAAAAGAATGGAATAAACGAATATCAGGCGCAGCTGTTTTCCCTGGTCATAGAGAAGAAATAACAACCGACTAAATCCACTGAGGATTTCGCTCAAAGACAAAGATGAAGAATATTGTTGACTTGTGTTAATGCTTTATTAGCAAGCCTTCATGCATGTACACTAATTTCCCATAGGTGTGACCATATTATTATTCATAGAGATAGACATTCATGTCCTGAAAAGACCATTCTGCCCCTCTATGTCAATGATGATGACGACGGAGCCACCAGAGACACCCTCCACTATAATCCCAAACCCTCAAAGCTTTCCACACATGCACTTGCTTGCTTTTAAGACCATCCCTCTAGAAAAGTTGCTGTTTTTCCTTTCTCTCAAGACTCCATAGCTTTGCTTTTCCTTTTTATCGCTTTCTCTCCTAATCCATGGACACAGCTCAGTGGGCACAGGTATACAGACCCCTCCTTTTTCTGTTTTTTTCTATGCATATAATCATGAATTTTTCTTCTGGGCTTTCTGATTTTCAAACTTATTTTTAATGCCGAGCTTTCGGTTTTGAGATTTATTTTGATCACTACTTGTTCTCAGTGATAGTTTTATTACCTTTTCCCCTACTTTTCAAAATCTTCATGAGATGATGTTGTTTCAGCAGCAGCCACTAAATTCAAATTCTTGTTGCTCTCTTTTAAGATCTTTCGCTCATTTTTTTCCTCTGTTATTGAAAGTACTGCACCTTTCTTTTTCCCTTTTTTCCCCCTCCTTCTCCTTTCCACCATATCTGATGAAAAAGGACCCAAGAAAAGCTAACGAATTAATTTGTTTGTATTGCCATAGCTATCCTTCAAAGTGTAAAGAACTAGCAGCAAAATTCTTTGTTTTTCTTATTTTGTTTGTTTCTTCCTCCTGCTATCTTACTTTAATTCTCTTACCTTGAAGATCATATGTGTTCAGTTTAATTATGGCCAACTTGTCCTCATCATCATGTCTTGTTATATCTTTATCAGAATTGTCAATTAATCTGGTTTAATTTTTCAGGGGAATATTGGAGTGGTTAAGCCTATGGAATTAGGTTCAACTCCAAAGCCTCCTATGTTGGAGAAAAAGGCAAGGCCTCAGAAAGATCAAGCTTTGAACTGTCCAAGGTGCAATTCAACCAACACCAAATTCTGCTACTACAACAACTATAGCCTCTCTCAACCCAGATACTTCTGCAAGACTTGTAGAAGGTATTGGACTGAAGGTGGCTCTCTCAGGAATGTTCCTGTGGGTGGAGGTTCCAGAAAAAACAAGAGACCTTCTTCTTCTTCCTCTGCTTCCTCAACATCAACAGCATCCAAGAAGCTTCCAGAACCTTCCCCTCAGAACCCCAGCAACAAGATCCACCAGGCCCAGGATCTTAACTTGGCTTACCCAACACCACCATCACTGCCTCCTCCACAACCTGACATTTCTGGCACTTCTAATTCTTCGAGGGGTTTGATGAATTCCTTGATGCCCATGTCGGTTTCATCAGATGGAAGCATGATGTATAACAGTAATAGTAATTCAGCTCATCATCATGGGTTTCCTTTCGAGTTCAAGCCCCATCATCATCAAGGGCTTAATTTTAGCTTCGAGGGGTTTGAGAATAATGGGTTTGGAAGTGGTCTTCATCATCATCAGGGAATGCAATTGGGTAATTCTGCTGGTGGTGCAAGGATCTTGTTTCCTATTGAAGATTTGAAGCACGTGCCAAGCACTGCAACCAGTCATGAGTTTGATCAGCAAAATAATAGAGCTGGAAGCCATGGAGATCCAAGTGGGTTTTGGAATGGCATGTTAGGTGGAGGAGCGTGGTAGAGAAATAGAAATTCTTTTGTATCCTACAGTGTATTTTGTACATGGACTGATCAGGGTTTAAGATTTAGTTCTCACGATCTGATACATTGACCTGATCATTTCACATGCATGAAACACTGTATAGTACTTAAGAATTTCTTTTACTAGGTATATTAGAAAAAGGATAAGTGAAGGAAAGTTATAAGAAAAAAGAAAAAAAGAAAAGGAGGAAGAAGAAGAAAAAGGTGAACAAGGGAGGTGGGTGCTTTTGGACTTTGCTTAGTTTTCTTTTCCTTCATCATTTGGTGAGTGACTGTGTTTTGGAGTGATAAGAGAAAACCACTAACAAATAGGGTACTTCTTCGATCTGCTTTGGTTAAATCTTCTTCAACAATCCATTTCATTTTAATTTGTTCTTACTCTTCGAAGGCTTTGGTCTCTAGTTTCCATAAGGATTTGATCCCAGGAAGAATTAATGTGGATGCACGCATGTCCATTTTAGGTTAACCCCTATGATATCTTGTTTATTAATTCTTGGCTTATTATACCCCCAAACAAGAACTCCACTTCCTGATCGATCATCAACTTCAACCTCAGATCAAAGGGTTTAATTTCACAACGGGTCAACATCAATCTACATGGATACTGGCTAGCTACATATTCTGCTGCATTTAACGTCATCATGATCCATCAGGTTTGAACAGATCTATAAGCTCTCGTGGATGCATGGGTCAGATAATATTATAAGCTGACAGAGATCTTAGTCGGTGTATGTGCAATTTAATATGGTTGTTTTTAAGTAGGGCAACTTGATTACTATATTCCCCAGGTTAGTGCCCATTAATTTTATTTTGTAAATTGTAACTATGGGATTTAATTATATTTATGGTTAATCTTGGTTTTGGTTTTACACATGGATAGATTCTAGTTATTCCACTGATCTATTTTAATTATATGATTAATTTTGGAACATAAAAGTGAGGTGGAATGATGGGTGTCAAAATCCCTTTACAGCAAAAGTGGTGTCCCTTCCTTACTATATCTTTCTTCCCCCCCTCTCTCTCTCTCGCGCGCGCGCTTTTGGTAGCCAACAACAGTTGAGAAAGTGTCATATATATATATATATATATATATTTAATCAATCAGTACACCCTTAGGTCTTTCAGATTCTTCCAACCCCATTAATAAAGCAATTGTTCTCAACTGGCAAAACCCATCAGGATCTAACAACAATGGTACCTTAATAATAATGTCTTTGTAATTATTAATACCCAATTCTAGACGACCCCATGCATGTGTGCGCGAGCAAGAGACTGACAATTTAAAACCTAGTGGCTAAACTTGAGTGATGGCTTTCTGCGATCTCTTGAAACACAATCAATTAATTATGAAACGAGGAGGGAAAATGCAATAATCAGAAGCCGTAGAGATAACTTTTGGTTCAAAAGTGAGTGGGTTTCCATGATCTCACCCGCTGGATCATAATGGTTATTCATTAATTTATTACTGTGTTTGGCTATCTGATTCAAGCGCATTTTGCTCCGTCTGCATAAATTATAAGCCACTGTATATCCTCACATGGCCCTTTTCTTTTTTACTTTCTTTTATTTAAAGCCACACACACAGATATATATATATATATATAGATGCTCGAGCTTGGCTTTATGGTATAGTGTCTTCCTCCTTTCACACCCTGGTGGGGGTCCCACAAAACATTCCTCTTGGTAACGGTGCAGGAATAATATGCTCCACTCTGCAACAAAGTCCTCCGTAGATAAGACTTTGAATTCCTTGTATTATTTTAAAATATGATACTGTGGAATTTGTAGATAGTGGCTTCGTTGGTTAGGTTTTTCTGGTCCAAGCCTAAATATATATAAAATCACCAAGGTCTCTTTCTCCCGCCAAACGCCCACCTTTTATCTATACTGAAATAGGTTTTGGCCTAAGACGAGTTTAAATTACTTGACCGCGATCTGCCATGTTTTTTATTTCTCTAGGTTTAGGGTTCAACTATAAGCAGATAATAAATCAAGCTATGTGTCTCCATAGGGTATTTACAACAAACGGAGATGATATTTTTAATAATGATCAAATTATTATTACATGTGTATTAATATATAAATATTTATCTTATAAAAATAATATTATTAACATTTTAAAATTCACTTATTCTGGTTTAACTGGACAAAAATATATAAAATTAGATATTTATAATTCTTCTCTTTAAAAATAAAAAAATTGATTACAAATTAAGATGTATGAGTACGATAATGCACTAAAATTTCAAGATGTATGAGTACGATGCACTACGATCTAGAGATCTTAGGTACCAGAGAAAAGATCGAGTGTGTCTCCTACATACATACATACATATTATATATATATATATATATATATATATGTTTTCTAGGGTTTACTGTAAGGTATGGTTTCAGCAAACACGATTACGAGCTCAATAAGGTTAATTATTTCTTTCAAACAAGTTTTTTTTTTTACCTGCTCAGCTGGAAATTCAATAAAAAAACAGCTGACGTTGACTAAAATTTTGAAATATTTATTATTTTGTTTTTATAGAATTTATTTTTTTCTTTGTTTTTTTATACATCGGAAAATAATTGCAAATAGCTTTTCGTAGTTAAACTCTTTGAAACTTTTATTACATATTATGTTTTATAAAATATTTTAACTTCAAAAATTTGCAAAAAAATATATGTAATTTTTATATTTGGATTATTGTATAATAACACACGGGATGATCAATTTGGAAATTAATATTAAATTCTACTATATATATACATACATGTCAAATCAATCATGAATATTTTTATATATAAATTGTGAGTTTTGAATAGTGCACCATGCGTGCTAACTTGTTGATTTCTCAGTTGAAATCATGGCTATAGAATCGTGACACCATAACTTTTTCCCATTCTTCATAATGCATTGCCAAAAAACAAACATGGAATTGATGTATGTAGGCATCGGATGCACCAAACCCGAGAGTGGATGTTTCAGGTTCCATTACAGGCTATTCCAATCATAATTAATGGCTTTACCTTTCATTAGGGTTTCCCTCTGCACAATTCTTAACCATAAATAGCACAAAGACTAACTCTTCAAATATAGCTGCGGGACCATAAAAGTGCAAACCATTTTCAATGCCAACCCATAGTATGAAATACGCATCATGCACATCAGCTTCACATAATAATCTGTTTCGCTACTTCTGGCAAGCTCAAATTTATATATCAAGTCCTTTTAAAAAATATAACGATGCTGCTAAATTTGTCCGTAGCATATAGGGCCGCCATTATATAGTAACGATCGCGATTCAGCCTGATGAAGTTCATGCATCTTTAATAATATATTAATAATAATAATGGGCTTGCTTTATCAACTAATTATATTGTTCACCGTCTACTTGAGGTCTGTGTGCGTGTGGGTAGGTCTTTGATTTGCTCTGTCGTTGCCGAGGCTCGAGACCATTATTCTATTGGAGAATTTGACGAATATATGTTATGTACACGAAATAAATTAAGAGTATCGACGAGAATTTGATTCTAGCAAAAAGAACTAGTCTTTCATAATTTGTAATATAAAGGATGATATGATATTTTTAAGAAATTGAATAATTTTATCTTTGTAGTCATGAAAATGAGAGTATATAATATATTAATTATGTGTTTTACACACCGCCATCATATTAATTATGACATTATTAGGAGTCATAAATTATATTATTGTGGTTTTACATGCTACCAACTGAATAACAAAATTTTATTGGTATAAGAGATCTAATTAAAAACATTACGGAGGGGGTGTATATTTTGTATAAAAAGATGAATTGTTATTTACTTTATTTCAATTTTATTCCTTCATAATTTTCTATGAGTAGAGTAAAAGATTATATATGAGAGAGAAATTTTTGTTAAAGATGATGCATTATAGGTAGATTGTGAGATTGTTTTTGAACAACGTCAATAATTTAATTACTTCCCTTTGATTCTGGAGAGATAATTAGAAGTGACTTGATAAAAGACCATAGGGGTAATTTCAATTTTAGAGAGTGGAAATATTATCAACCTCTCTTGTTCATTAGAAGAATAGTGATATATGATGTTTAGCTTTAATATTGGGTTGAGAATTTAATAATTTCTGTAAGCGCTCAACGGCTTTAAAAATGATTAGTTGACTGTCACGTTGTGTAACATTTCAAGCAGGTTGTATCAAAAGAAAAGCAGAGGAGAGGGGGGGGGAGAGTTTCTATATTCATTTAAACTCTTGAATTCTTGAGTGTTATAAACATACTCAATAAGTGGAGAATAAAGAGTTGGCTAAATGAATAGGGAAAGTTATAAAAACAGAAACAATATGGAGATCTTTTCCTTTTAGTAGGAAAAGAAAGATTGGCCTCATAAACAAAGTGCAGTCTTTTGTATAATTTCGCAAATGACATTAATAGTGAAGATGATATCTTCTCGTGCAAGTCTTTTCCCCACACACAACACTCACTTCTTATTACCAAAATTGGCAATGCAATGGTATTGATCTTATGCATGCATAATATATATATATATATATATATATTCTTTTGAATCCTATTTATAAATAAAAAAAGATTTATTTTTACCACAAAAAGTAGTTCTTTTTTTTTGGAGAATGACAAAGAAGTTTCAAAAAAATCAATCAATTCAAGTTAAATTTTAAGTATCAAATTTTAAGAATATGCAATCAAATTTTTCAATTTTACAACTATGTTGTGATGAATTTATAACTTCATTTCAAATTTTAACAATAAAAATTATATTTTTTTATTTTTTAAACATGTTAAAATTTAGCAAACTAGTTATAAATTTATCACAATGTAGTTATAAAATTAAAAATTAAACTGTAAATTTTTAAAATTTAACACTTAAAATTTAATTTAAATTAAAAATTTTTTTTATTATTCCACCCTTCCCCACCCCTTTTTTGAGAGAGAGAGAAGAGATCGAAAACCAAGAGATATATGGATACCGGAGCTCCAAGTCTGCTCTGAGTGTCTCCTTCTAGGAGTAATTATCAATAACAAGTGTACCGGTGGGGCTACATAATCGAGTGTGTGTGTGTGTGTTTTGGTTTTCATCGCCCTGGGCCCTTATGGGGTATAAAGGTATTTTCATTTGCCCCTTCCAGAATACAGCCGTCTCTTTCATCGTCATTATCGGTATTCAATATCAAAATACCATCGTTATGACTAAATGGGTGTGACATAATGATAACAATCTAAACTTATGTATTATGAGTTTGATTTCTGAAGATGTAAATGAAAAACATTGCTTGAAAGAAAATAACCACTTAAATAATGCTTATATTTTTCAAGAAACCAGTCTCATAATTGCTGGCTATAGGGATATATTGGAAAATAAAAGAAAATATCATCGTTATGAGTCTAAAATGGCTCTTTAAAATTGAATAATGAATCCAAGACTTCCAGGCATGTCTTGAAGCCTGATTTTTGGGAGGCTCAGACAATAATGCGGAATAAAAAGAAATATTCCTCAGGGCTGACTTTTAAGGCCCAAAGATGAAGAGCAAATTGGGCCTCGCTTACAAACCTGTTCTCCGAGATTCAATATCTTCAACTGAGTTTGTTGAACAGTGATGAACACAAAACTTTATGTAGAACAAGCAATACTTACGGGTGTGTAAGTTTTCATTAATTTCAAAGTTTGAAGATTCAGTATAAACATATTCAATTTTAAGATTACAAAATATATTTTTTTGCAAAACAAATTGAAGGCAGAGGTTCTGACTTATATTTTATTGCGCTAAGAAAGAAGGCGTTGTGTTGTGTCAAATTATGGCCGTCAATGAGGAAGGTATGCATAACTCTCAAGAAGGGTACTCCACCCATGACTCAAAGGACCATCAAAATCACAAAACGCCAATGTCAAATGCCCTATTAATCCCATGTTAAATGCCCAAGCAAAGACTCAGGCTTTGTTGGCAAGTGGCATTGTAGTTTCAGGTCATGAATTTTTCTTCAGGAGCCTCTACATATGTCAACACATATCATTTATGAAGAGATAAATAAGAGCATACTATACAAAGATTTATTACTGAGATAAATAAGAGCATACAATGCAAAGTTTTATATTTTTAAAATGATATAAGTCTAAATATAAATCGCGTGGAACCTATTTATAAATTGAGCCTACACAAAAATGCCTGACTGAAATTTTGTCTTTAGCTTTGTTTTGACAAGGCAGACAAGCCACGAGGTATGGTCCTCCTACATGGAAAGAATGAAAAGACACAATACTATGAAGGAAATACAATGATATTGACAGCTTACTACCAAGGAATAAGAAACTCCAGAATAGGAGGTTAAAGGGTCACATTGAGCAAGTGGGCTGTTGTAATCCGTAAGCATATAACTATCAATTAAGACCTAGCCTGCCTAAGTAGGGCAAAAATAACAAATATGTTGGTCTAAATTCTATATTAGCTGATTGCCTACTAGAAGGCTTTTAAACTCTTCGGATGATATGATCCTGGGAGAGTTCGGTCACTATTAAAGCCAGGAAACATATTTCAACTACCAGAAGATGATAGAGTTAAAAAATACACAATTTTATTAACAGGGAACAAATTCATCATATCATACAACTTCTAGTCACAACACCAGAAAATAAAGAAATTGGAGAAACAATGGCAAATTTAGAATGGCTGAGAACTTCCTGTACAAGACGAACATCATGGAGCATGAAATAATCTACTTCAAGGCTGGGATGAATGGATTAAGATGCATCAAGGAATGCTGTGCTACCAGTTCTCCTTCACAATTTTTGACTTCTCAAGGATGAACTTCCCTTCCTTGTACTTCTGTGATGCTTCATAAGCTCTTTCATACTTCCAACCCAAAACTTCACGGCAATCACCACAGTATACATCAGCAACAGTGTGGAGTCCAGTCAAGAGATGCCTGTCTTCTTTTGGCCCCACGACAATATTCATTGCATGGGAGAACAGAAAAGCTCTGCCATTTCTTCCCTAATTTTAAAATTAAAAGAAAATAGTATTGGACAATGATATGGGAAAGTTTCTGAGAGGCTTAAAAATAAAAATGCATCTTTAAATACTAAGTTTATCAACCCGAACCCAGCAGGAGAGGACAAGAGAAATTGAAACTCCTTGGGATTGTTTCTATTTTTGTAACATGCAGCACCCTATGATCCAAAGAAAATATATTTTGCAATCTTCATGAAAATGTGCTGTATCGTTAACTTCCAACACATAACGCCTAATGTAATAACTAATAACAGAGGAAAGAAAGGACTGGTCAATTATATGATACAATGTATCTTGAGAACATTAAGAAGCAAGATAAATGCCGTAAATCGGCTACTTTCCTCAACAATATTCCATCCTCCTTTTAACAGTCCATTTCATCCCACTACATCTGAATTACTGTTTCCAGCAAACAGCACCCTCACGAACCAAGTCATCATCATAACAGCTATACAACAACAATAATTGCGACTGTCAATGACACCAGGTATCAACAGTCACTGCCACTTTTCAATCATCATCACAAAAGCCCCAATTGTCCGGCAAAAGGATCTGTGTGTGATTGTCAATGCCATCAGTCATTAATAGCCAGTTACTAACACTTGGTACTATAACTACTCCTCTAGCATCCATAAGCAGACTTACCACAACCACCGTTACTACTCAATCACTTTCACCACCACCTATCCAGTATCTCTAATTCCATTTCAGTAAAACTTAGCAGCACAGTCATCTGATTTTGCAAGCATATAATCACACTGCATAAAACTAAGACAATCAGATGATAGGTTCTGTTAACATTGATTTGTCGGATAGTCAGTAACTCAATATCATTATGAAACAAATTCTTTAATATCCTATTATTTACTCCCTCCGGTCCAAAATATAAGTATTTTTCCTTGACTAATCTTGGTTCAAAACATAAAAACCTCGTACATGTAAAAATTTTCCCCCATTTTACCCCTTATATTTATTAACTTAGATATTTATATAAATGTATATCTCACTCATCATAAGTGCATTGGTAATTAGGATTACGGGTAAAAAAGAAAAATAATATATATTTTTATGGGAATAAGAACTTTATTGACACACAGATTTTTTTCCTAAAACTTATATTTTGGACCAGAGAAGGTAAATAAAAATAGAGGAACAGTCCCTATTTGAATCCTAATACTGAACGGAAATCAACTAATCATCTCTCTTTTAATCTTCAATATCTGGTCTGAAACTATTGTAATTTTTAATGGCTCTAAGAAATCGACCATATTCAGGTTTAGTCGTGGGCTCTAGACAAACTACACCACAGATTCTGCGGTTGACATTATTTCCAGAGAATGAATTCAACATTTTCCCGGTCTTGACTCCTGAAATCACCTAGAAACATTCCTATCACGTTACTTCTTCTAACAGTGATCATAAATAACTCTGAACACATCAAATTCTGATGCCTCTTTACTTATCTGGAAGATAGATGGGCGATTTGGGTGAATGACACAAGGGGGGCGCTTCACCCCCAGCCCTGGTTCAAATTTTCAATTTTTTTTGGAATTTAATGTATGTTCAGTTTAAATGAGAACATAATATTATACGTTTGGCGTCCCCGAACATCTTGGTTTCAAAAACTTACCGACAATCTCCTAATCATATCAAAGATTGGAAGATGGAAAAAAAAAAATCTTATCATTTGCTTTACTTATTATTGATTCTCAATTCTGGCTTTAGCAACAACTGATCGATCATTTTTAAATATGAATATCACCCAAAAAAAAATGGGATAGAAAATTATTTTCTTGCAAATTACATCGTCATTCATAAATGAAGGTAACATTACTGAGAAATTTGATATATACTCAATTATTGACATGAAAGAACATCATGCTTATCTTAGATGAATTACAGCATTATATGTTACGTTTATACTTTTTAACCTAAAACTTCTATTTACAGAAACATATTAACATTTTCCAGTTGTTGCCTCCGAGGTGAGGAGTAACAAAGGGGAAAATAAAATTCAAGAAGTGATATGTTACAAGCGGAAGCTTAATAGCACTGAAGGTAACCCACCGAGTAAAGAGGGAAGCTAGCGATAAAACCAAATCGAGAACAAAAAAAAAGGAGCAGCAAATGCGGTGTGCAAGATGAAATGACAATCTGATTAAAAATAAGGAAAATTTACATCCGTGAGTAGAATCCTTCGCAAAAGCTATGAAAAAAGGACCGACTAAACAAGGAAAAGATGCCTCACCTGAAAAGCCTTGGAAATTATATCGTCATGGAGTGAAACTTGGTTTCTACAATTACAACAGCTGTACAGCCTTGGGCCTATCAGTTCCGCCATTAACTCTCAACAGTTTCCTGTCAAACAACTCACAAAATATCAAAACCACGGCTATTTAAGAGAACAGACGTTGATCAGATACAGAGTGTGGATTAGAAATTAGAATCATTAACCAGAACGTGAAACCAGGCAAGGGAAAATAATAAATTCTTTACCCACAACAAGCTCAACGATGACCCAGAAGTCTGCAACAGCAAGATACGAAGAGAAATGGGTGTTAGCGTGCAAGACTAGGCTATAGATGATCACAGCGTTGAGTACATATTCCCATTTAAAATATTAAGAGTTTTAACTTTTAAATAGAAAAGGTATATGCATGGGTCAGATAAAGACACGGCCGCTACAAGTGTAAACAACACCAACTTTGCATATACCGTATGGTAAAACAAAAATGATCGGATAAAATAACAACCACTTCGAGAAAAATTAAAAATATAAAGAAACGATTTGGATTAGAATCATGCAGCAAAAAAACTGAGAAAGGTCAGGAAAGAGAGAGCGAGCGGCACCGTTGACGAATGCAAGTTGCAAGTTAATGGGATCTAAGCTGTTCAAAATCAATAATTAAAAAAAAAAAAACTTTGATAGGTGATTCACAGTAAAAAATAGGTAAATTAATTGTAAATCGGGATAAGTGGCCATCAGTTCATTGAAGAATGAATCGAGAAATTCTGCTTTGATTACTTAACCAAATAAAAATTAGAGGCATCAGAAACACTAATAGAGAAGATTCTCTGAGTATATAAGAAGAAGAAGAAGAAACAGAGAGGCGAGTTCCTATTAGCTTTCAGGGTTCACTGACCTGGCAAGTCTGAGACTGAGTCAGGGCTCTGTTCCATGGGTGAATGATGATGAGAAGTCCCAAATAATTTAGAGAGAGAGTGAGAGAGAGACTGTGTAGTTTTTAACTTTTTTATTAATATGTCGAGTTACTTAGGCTGCGGAGGGAACCCCACGCGCATGAACCCGCACGTTCGGAACGCGTGAGGAGGCGAAAAGCAAAAATGCGTTACGGAAACATTCAGAAAGGGCTCTTGCGAAGAGGTCATTCGCCGAAGACGCTGCAGCGGCTGTGCCATATCCACCGAAAGAGGGATGACTGCAATGATAATTTTATTTTGTTAACAATAATAATTATAATAATTCAATTTACTTCCTTTCAATTTAATTTGAACTTTAGGGCAGGACAGTGTAGATAATAATGACTTAAGGAGGGTTTAAACCTTTCTCATACAATTAAAAAAGGTTAATTAACTGGCCTGTATGAAAACAACTTATCTGTTTAAATCAATTCAATTTAAAAAATAAAATCTCGATTTTACGACTACGAATTTTGAAAATTTGATTTTATGCAAAGAACAAAATTAAATTGAAAGTTTGCCCAATTCTAAATTTTTAGATTAGGCTTTGAGAGAGAAAAATGAAAATGAGTGAACTGGTTTGTGGGTTTTCAATGGGCCGGGAGGCCCAGGGGTTAACGGGTGCGCAGTGCGCTCATGAGTTGTGAAGAATAAAAATAATAATAATAATAATAAGGATATTATTTTTCATTTAAAAAATAATAATAACTTTTACATAGAATGTCAGTAGAATATGTAACAAAATATAAGTTGAGTCAAATCTCGAAAATTCAAAGTACATACCTTGAACAATGGGTGGGAGAACCAATTTTCAACACCCACTAGCCAAAAGCCTTCAAATGCAACTTTCAATTGTTCAATATTTTTATATTTGTGATGGGAGTGTGATTAAGTGCTTTCCTTTATGGATAATGACAGATAAATTACAAAAGACCAATTTAAATTTAAATTATAATTATAGGTTGCAAGACAATTATTTGCAAATGATACTTGCTTAGATTAGGTTCCAAAGCAGATTCATAGCAACAGATTATGTTATGGCAATAGCCCAGGAGGATTACTGCGCAAACTTTTTGCCCCTTTCTGTAATAGGATTGTTCTTGTTTTTTGATTTGGAGTTCCCGGGTTGCCTGCAAAATGAAAAATTACTTCTTTATTTACAATTTTGTAATTAACTGTAATTTATAATTACTATTCTATACTTTAGGGATAATGAAATTTTCAATTCCTAAAATTTGTCTCAATTATTGTTCTAGTTCTATAAGTTTAATTTTTTTTATCTGGCCTCTCATTTATTTTAAATTATCATGTAGGTTTTTAAATTTTAAAATACAAATTGACTCTCAAATTAATTTAATTTGTAAATTATATAGATTATTAGGAATATATATAGATAAGTTAAAACAAATTAGCTTTTAAATCCATTTAATTTGTATCAATATAATTCTTTACTGTTGTTTTGTTCTTTTATTTTTTAAAGATTTTAGATTCTATTGTTGCTAATTAAATAATTACACTCTCTTTAATGACCGCCATCAATATTTTGTTATTCATATTAGCAGATTTTAATAATGTTACTTCTTTTTAAAACAATAAAGATTAAATTGATAATCAAAATAAATTTAAAAAAATAAATTGATAGGATTAAATTTGAAAGATTTAAATTAATAAAACAATAATTATCATTCCTCATGCATGTCCTTCACAGAAAAGTACTTTTCGTATGAATTGATGTATTTTGGATAAATGAATTTCTCTCGTCACACAAAAAACAATAACAATGAACTTATCCTAAATTTCCCTCGTGACATTGAAAATTACTTCAAGGCAATGGAATCCCATCGTGGAAAATGCATGGAATTCATGTAATGCGTAATGATGGCAACCTCTTTTTTTTTTTTTTTAAAAAAAAGGAAAAGGAAAAGGAAAAACGAAGCTCTACAGAGCATCCAGTTTTTGCAAATAGGTTTGGGTGGTTAGGATATCAAAGCACTAATGATGTTTTGTCTGAAGCCACTAGAGATTATTTACAGCTCATTATCTTAATTGATTAGAATTGATTGCTAACCCCCTGGCATATTCTATGCGTGTGAAAGTGTGTGGGTCTATCTGTGTCTTAAAAAAAAAAAAAAAACAGTTTTGGAAGAATGATAGCTAGATTTCGAGAAATTGAATTAATAATAATTAAATACCTACCAAATTTTTTTAATAAATAACTAAAAATTTAGGAATTTCTATCGAAGATAACATATTCAAGTTTCATATATAATTTTTAAATTGAAATTATAATAAAATATGTCTAATTATTTGAATCAATACTCACAATTTAACTTTAAAAAAATTATAAAAAATCTAGCTATTATTAATTAAATTTTTTAGACTTCATTGAATAGATATAAACAATTTATTGTGAATGATCTTATAGCAGAGTACAATTATTACATTCGCAGTTTGTAAGAGAGATTAATCTCTTTACGCGGAGATAGGAGGGCTAGTATTGCTTGAGGATCTTGGCCTTCTCGATGACGAACTTGCCTTCCTTGGATTTCTGGCAAGGCTCGTAAGCCTGAATGTATTTCCATCCCAACTCTTGGCCACAATTGGTGCAATATATGTCGGCCACACAGAACACGCCGGTCATGAGTTGTCTGTCCTGTTTGGCTCCCTCCATTATATTTCTCGCATGCGAGAACATGAACGCTGCTCCTGATTTCGCCTTCAATATTCGCCACACACAACACTAATTAATACACTATCACGCCAATCATCCCAACCCTACATTATGTACATCGGACCTCATTAATTCATTTATTCCCGGCTTTCTATTTCCACCATTCCTTACTACTTGTACACGTCATTAGGATTAGAATCCTTTTCACGTAACATCACGCATTTAATTATATTGTGCTTACGTTCCACAAGGCACATTTGTATAAGCTTACACACTATCTCACTGGTTTTTATTCGCTGACCTGAAATACTACTACTTAGCGTGTAGGATTGGTCTTTGTTGAATTCTGTACCCATCCAATTTCTCGACATTTCCTATTGGGACATGATGATTTCAAACAATAGCATGGGGCAATTATTTTCCGCCAGTGAATCTAGAATTCAAGATCAATATGTTTTCTCTGAATGGTTTTATAAATTTTTTATTGACTATTCTGGACCTCCAAACATTCAAAACAAATCCAGGCGACCTTCATGCCAATATGTTCAGGGGCGGATAAGATCTAAAATAAATTCAGGGGGCCTGCTATATTTCAATTTTTTTTTTTAAAATCAAATTGGTAAAATTTATTGGGAGTGTGCCCCCTTGAGACGCCACCGAATTTGCAGTTCGAGAAATCAAAAATAATGAAACAGAGGAGGAAAAAACCATATATATTAAAACTGATGTTGATGGAGAGAAGGCAGAGAAGCCCTTTCATTCAAAGGGGAAAAACAGGGGGATCTGTGAAATCAAGAATGTGGAAGGATTTCCGAGTCGCTGTGGAGGAGTAAATAAATACCAGGAAGCGTTTAGAGAGAAGGTCGCTGCGTAATGCAATGGGCGTTTGGCAGTTTCTGCATCTGAAGGAAGCAGAAGCATCACCTCCAAGATCCGCCATGGAAGTCCGATTATTTTAAACCAAATAATACTTTGGCTTCCTTCCAGTGAACATTATGAAGATTGGGTGTGTATATATACTACGCCTATTAGTCCTTTTAAACCAACCAAAACAAGTTGCGTCTTCTCCACGGCGACTTGACTGACACTTGACAGAGACAATGCTAGGTGACACGAAACACCCTCCCCTCTTTCTATCCATCATCATCCGCTTTGAATATCAAGGCTAAGCACTGTTGGTTCTCTTTACCTTTTTTTATATAAACGTCATTTTTCCTTGGAAAAAATTGTTAAAAGTCCCAGAAAGTCAGAATATAGAAAGAGATGGCTGGAATTTTATTTTATTTTATTTTTTAACATTAAAGTTTCTAGAATTTTTAATAGTCAAGTTGCCGTAAATCTCTGAAACTTTCTACCTGGAACTCCGTGTTGATTTGAATTGTGAGTTTTGTTTTAATGTGATGTTAATGCTTAATAGTACCTATAATCTGGAGTGAGATACACCTGAAGGCTGAAGCAATTGAAGTGCTCTCATCTCCCACTTACATTTGTTTCTAGAACAGAAGGTTGTGATTTCGAATACCAAGCGACTTTGTTGCCACGAAAGAAAACGAAGACTTTCAGACGTGCAAGTACCACAATCTGATGTGTTTACATTGTGCTGAATAATTTACAGGAAACGGAAAGATTTACGTTGTAATTTCCCTGGCATGCATGGTAGAAGAAAGGCCAGACAGCTAAACCTTAAAGACGTAAGAAAATACCAATGCAATGCTTTTAATCTCTACATCCTTCTATACATGTTGCCTTGAAATATAGAGCAACTGAGCAACCAATTATGAAGATAAGGTATAAAAAATGAATGAGCAAGTAGGGTTTTGAATCATACTTGTTAAAAATAAGAAGACTGTTTCTCAAGTACACCCAATTGTGCAAGGACTCGGGCAGCAAGACTTCTCAAGCGACTGTCTTTTCTCTGGGTTATGTCTACCAATGGCATTATGGCTAAAGCTTTGTGCTTATTCTTTATTTCATCGACTTGAAATATTTTCTCCAGAGCTACTAGAATTTTTTCCTGCAATCTGGCAGACTGAAGATTCAATAACTTAATTAGTTGAGTAATAGCATTTGCATCTGCAAGTACCCTACATCCACCCTGTGGTGTTTCACCGTGAATCAAAGTCAAAAGCGCATCTAAGGAGGCTTCACATATTCCAATATCTTGCTCTGCAAGCAACCTCACGAGGGGCTTCAAAGCATCCGCCTCTATGATGCAGAATGAGGACTCAACTGTACAGGTGCCTATGTGTGCCGGGCAACCGATTTCACGAGGTACGAAGCAGAAGTTCAATATACCTGCTTTTTTTATTGGCTTGCTTAAGAGGCATGAGCTTTCTGAAAACTGCTTGATCGAAATGGCCGCGTATTGTTTTGACAGAGATGTTCCAGAATCCAGCAATTTCACCAGGATAGGGATTATGCCTTCTTGAGCCACTGTCTTCTGCCACACTAGGTTTGTTGAGACAGTAAAGCGGCAAAGAGCTTGAACAGAGTTCTCAATGACTTGCCATTTGTGCGAGGCATGTTTATGCCGATCCAAAAGACAATCCAAGATAGTTTTAACTGCCCCAGAATGTAAAAGCCACTGGGTTATATGTGGTTCCCTGGGAAGTCTCGAGATGATACCCATAGCAGCAACCATCTCTTCTGCATCATCAGTGGTTTTGATGATGGTGAGCAAGACATTGATACACCTCTCAGTTACATGTGATGTGAAGTTTCTGCAATCACTGCCTTCTGTCAAGTAATAGAACAGCTTCACGGCGTTTGCCCGCACAGTTTGGTTATCCAGCTCTAACAAGTGAACTAATACTTGGACAGCTGAGAGCTTCATGAACAGTTACCATAAAACTAATTTTTAGTGATTTCATGGCATAATCGCTCAGTCTATATCTATATATCACATAAAATTTATAAGAAATCACACTATTTATAAGCTACGAATAGTGTAGCTTGTCTCAAACTTTATATAAAACACAGGTTCACAATCTAATCACAACAATAACAATTTTTATTATTCGAAGTTGCTATTTTGACTCGATCAAAAGGAATATAAAGTGTTTCACAAATTGGCGCTTTAAGAAGTAAATTTTTACACCAGTAGTAGTCCAAGGCTTTGATACAAGAACACTACTAATGAATTTATACATCTTCGACATGAGTGTTTGGTGTATGAACTCAACAAATTTCTTTTAGAATCTCTTATTCTAGAAAAAAACTGTTGAAATAATTTCATAAAGAAAAAGAATGTACAAACGAATCAACAATCTTTCTTTCTTTTGTTTTTCATTTTGCCTCTATTTCTTACCAACTTGGTTCTTCTAGAGTCATGTAGTCATATATTAGAAGAGAAAGTGACACAAAAGAGTATGATTATGTACGGAACCCACTTCCCTGTTTATATCCACCCCCCCCCCCAAACCCTCTCTCTGACTGCATAACAAGCAGCCATTTTGGTCATTGAAGAGAATCTGTTCTCTCGCCTCATATTACATTTTACCCCTCTCCCTATTCTTTCACCTTTTTATCTTCCTAATTCAGTTGTTTCTTTTAGCTCTAAATAGTCATGGTCACGTGTTTCACATCCATAGGCAATAAGTGATTAAAATCAAAGCACCAAAATATTCTTTGATCATCATCATTATCAGTCAAACATTTTTCACCACAATCACAGTGTACTAAAATCATGGCTTCAGGAAAAGTGCCAACCTGTCTTAACCTTTCTCTGATGGTGAAACCAGAGGGAGATTGGCACATTGCAAGGAAAGTTTTCAGAATCTTGCATTGTATATCAGGTCCTGTGAAGGAAACAAGTGAGAAGAATTTGAATACGTCATCCTCAGAATCTAACAATGAAACCTGGACTGCATCAGCTTGTTGGTGAGTGGTTGACATGGCGAGATGCATCAGCATGGCAGCTGCTGGTTCCCGCAGAATGGTTGATTGTAAACTGTGACGATATAGCAGCTCAAATAGTAATTTAGCAACACCCTCCCTAATCATCTGAAGGCCATTTTCCGGCAAGCTTGAAAGCTGTAAAAGAGCTTTTAAAGCCACTTCCTTGACTTGCACGTCAGAATGAGAGAGCAACTGAAGAAGTGGCGGCAGTGCCCCATCTTTGATCACTGATACTTTATTCTGGTCAGTCAATTCAATTTCTGATAAAGTTTTGGTCATGATTATCGTCACATTTTCTGTCCCTGCATCAAGGAAATGAGCATTGACAATCAATGAGTATCTCATGTCTTGCCTATTAGCATTTTTTTTTTTAAAAAAAGAATTCAAATTTAAGTCAGTATCGAAAGAGTAGTAACTACTACAAGTACTGACCAAGACACAACGTTGTAAAGGAACAAATGGTGAGCACAGAATTCATGGAATACCTGAAGAAAGGTTTCGCAGCAAAGGCTTGAGATAATTTGCCTTTGCCATCTCTATAACATTCTGGTTAAGGAAAGAGAGGTTATCCAGAAGCTCACGTGCCTTATGGGCTGCTTCAACATCATCGCTGCTTAACATTGTTACAAGGAGGAGTATGCTTCCTTGAACATTTCCTATGAGATCACGCACCACATTACTTCTAGACAATTCTAACAGCAACTCCACTGCTAACTTGCTTTCATCTATTTGACGTGCAAGTGAGCGAACAATTGATTCTAGTGCATTATCAACTTTAGCAATATCTTCCTGCATAAGAGAAGCATTATTATTCACATGAAGCCTCACAAAATAAAGTTCAGTGATTATCATCTACAATAAAGAGGAAGTATAAGATACCTTGTTCTCTTCATTGTCCTTTGCAAGCAAAGACAGGATGGAGAGAACACACTTCGTTATTTCTCTATTTCTAGCACCGAGGAGCTTGATCAGAGTTGTGATGTAATTCTCCAATTTTACCCATTCTCGGTGCATCTGTCTTTCCAAGCAGAGGCCCTGCAATTTTTCTAAGGATTGAAGCATTTCCTCTACATCGTCACTCTCAAGTTTGGACTTAAGAATAGAAAGGGTAATGATGGTGTTCCTATCTTTCCATTCTTGAATTGACTGTCGAAGAGTCTTATTAGGTCTTAATTTTGAAGTATCCAGAGGCAACATGGTTAAAGGACAGTTATGGTTCCCTTCTGCAAGCCACTTTTCTATTGCCTTTCTCTCAAATGTTTTGCCAGAAGAAGTCTCCACAGGATCTTCCATGATATCAAGTGAGATTGGACAGTAAAATGAATGTAATGGCTCCAACAGTTGTCGCCCCAGGGAATTTCGCTTTTCAAAATACTTCTTCTCCTTCTCTTGTGATGAAGTAATGGAATCAGCTTTTTCAAGCACCCCTACGATCTGCTCCACATGTAGAGCTTCCGCTGTATGTCTTCTTGACCCAGCAATTTGCATGTCACTTTTCAGCTCTTCAAATTCTCTCTTTATAGCAGCATGTTCAGTTGAGATCCCAATGGCATCTGCAATACAAGCTAGCAACTGATTCGCATAAGAGCGATCAGCATTTCCTTCTTGTATTGCTGACTCAAGTTTTTCTAGAATTTCCTCTTCTGCTGCAGCTGTTTTATACCCATCATCTAACATGTTCTGGCATAGCTCACTTATTTGTTTACTTAGACCAGAAGAAACATCCAAAGATGTGAGAGGGATGAGGCTCACTGCTCGGCTTATGTTTTTCGTGCAACAATCCAAATTCTTGGCTATCTTTCTGCAACGGATCAACAGATAAATCTTGCTTTTGCAGTTGCTCTCATAAACCAGCTGTTTAGCAACTTTTACTTCTTGGTTTAGGACGCCCAGGGAACTTTTCAAGCTCTCTGCCTGGTGTATGCCCTCTTTTGATAGTCCTTTCAATATTAATGAGACTTTCTCCAGGGAAGTAGAGAATTTTCTGAAATTATCCTTCTGGATCAGAATCTCATTGGCTGCTTTGGTGATATCAGCTATACTACGGACAGTATGAAAAAGTAATTCAGAAGCTGAAATGAGTGAGGCGTGATCAATTGAATC